CATCGTTATCCTCCAGGAAAACCTAAGAATGGCCGCGATCGTATTATAAAAATTGAGCTTCCCACTCAAGCCTTGAAGGATAGGCTGCTCAGTCACATGAAGTCGGGCCGTCAGAGTCTCACTGAACGTTTCGTTCATTCGTATGCCCGGAGAGACTACACGGTGGAGGAGCTCGAATTGGACCGACCTTGCGCAAGCAAGCAGGCTTAGCCAATGCGAAGATAGGGAAGCTCCAATATGTTGTCCGGGATTTACAAATACACAAACTGAAGACTGCGAGAGAGCTGCCGCGTCGCAACCCTCCATCATTTCCGGAAGTATCGCAAACTTCGACCAGAGTTTCTGTGGGATCCGCGGAAACGTCGTCGGTCAGCACTTCCAGAGCTCCTTATATTTCTGCCTAGGGCCCGGCCCCTCCAACTGAAGGACAAATTCGAGCACGCCCTCCGACACTCCCTGCTCCTGGGAACTTTTTACTGTTCAACGCACGTTCTTTGAATAACAAACTTCCGGATCTCCACTACCTTCTATCACGAAATCCTCCCGGCATCTTCGTGACGGAGACGTGGTGCAAGTCGGAAAAGGTTAATAACAGTACCCTGTCAGCTGGTTATCCTTACCTTGTGTACCGTTGCGATCGAGACGAGGGTATCTCAGGAGGTGGGGTGGTAGCTATCATCAGGGAAACTATTCCTTCATCTCTCGTTTCGTCTCTCAGTTTCTCTCCTTATCTTCAGTGTGTTACCGTAAGACTCTCCCTCATTAGCACCGACTGTATTTGCGCCCTATGTTACCGTAGTCCGTCATGCCCGAGTGAAAGTTTCAAAGAATTCCTTCTTTATCTTGAAGAGCTATGTGAGAATCAGCTTCCACTCGTTATCCTGGGCGATTTCAATCTTTTTGATATTCCATGGTTTCAGTCATCTCTAAATTCGAGCCAGGGGCGTCTCAGCAGGCAGAGTTCCCTTTTTCTTTCTTTTGTTCAGTCTCATAACTTCCATCAAAAAGTGTTACAGCCTACTCGTGGTAACAACATCCTGGATTTGATTCTCACAAACTGCCCCGCCCTCTTGAGCAATCTATCAATCCAAGTTCCCTTTTCTACATCTGATCATGCTATGGTATCTTTCTCCTTGTCAGGTCACACTTTTCAAACGGACCGTAAACGAATCTTGGACTTCGCTAAAGGTGACTATAGTGCCATATGTTCCCACCTTCTTTCAATAGAATGGCGTCGTGTTTTTGACTCTATAGAGACTATTGATGAATGTTACTTCGCTTTCGCTGATACTTGCCATTCCCTTATTTCCCGATTTGTTCCACGCGGCTGTGTCACCAAGGGAGCTTGGCACATTCCCCACTACTTACGAAGGGTTGAGGCTCAAGTTCGACGATTATTCATAGGTGGGAATTACTTAAATAATCCGCGCTATGTTTACCTTTCTCGCTTACTGAGAAAGAAATTAGCGAAGCTTAACCTTAAATATGAAAACTACATTGCTTGTTCCAAAAATAAGAAAAGATTCTGGAGTTACTGTAATGCAAGGTTGAAAGACTCCTCCTCAATTGGATCCATTCTAGCCCCTTCCGGGTCTGTGTGCTCATTAGACATAGCAAAGGTTGAAGTTTTTGCAGAATATTTCAAGACGTTTTACAAGCATCATGCTACTCCAACTGAAGAGAACATCATTATACCAGAACACAGGCTAGATTGGGTAGAATTCAGCTATGAAAATGTATACCGCACCCTGAACAAGCTCCCCCTCCGATGTTCTACCTCACCTGATGGATTGCCCTACATATTTCTGAAGAAGGCTGCAGAAGGTGTCACCCCTGCCCTTACACACCTCTTCAACAGAATACTCTTGAAAGGTGAAGTGCCTGCGATCTGGAGATTGGGACTGGTTAGACCAATATTCAAAAAGGGAAGCAAGAGCGACTACAGGAACTATAGGCCTGTATGTCTCACCTCGGCAGTTAGTAAAGTAATGGAAAGGATGGTGTGTGATAGGATCAGAAACTTTTTCATATCGAAGGGTCTCGTGTCTCCTTGTCAACATGGTTTCCTTCCAAAAAAGTCGACCGCTTCAGCACTTCTTTCCTCTATACCAGCATGGCAGTACGCCATGGACAAGAAAGACATCGGTCTTTGTTGCATACATTGATTTTTCTAAAGCGTTCGATTCTATACCTTTACCTCTCCTGTTTCTAAAACTGGAGCAACTTGGGATTGCTGGATGTCTTCTTAATTTCATCAAATCATTCTTCTCTAATAGGTTTCAAAGGGTTGTTCTCAATGGCACATGCTCCCGAATTTATCGAACTGATAGCGGCGTTCCTCAAGGTTCTTGCCTAGGACCCTTAATGTTCATTCTGTACATTAATGATTTACCTGCTGTTCTTCCTTCTGGTACACATTGTTCGATGTATGCGGACGACTTGAAGGTTTACTGCTTGATCAGCCCTTACTGTTACAAGATGCTCTTGATACAGTGTCAAGCTGGGCTCGTAGATGGGGACTTACCATTTCTCTGGATAAAACGTTTGTCTTGCGTTTGGGGCCTCCTTGCCGATCCGCTCCGAAGTTCTTGGTTAACGGAACTGAGGTAAAGGAACCTGATTTACTCACTGACCTGGGCATTTCTTATTCTCGCTCATTGTGCTTCAATGAATATATTACCAGAGTGGTTCACTCAGCACATTGCAGAGCAAACTTCATATTGCGTGCCTTCTCTACAAAGAGCACAAGAACACTATTCAGCTTTTTGCTACTTATGTTCGCCCTCTTCTAGAATACTGTCCCATGGTGTGGAGTCCCTCTACGCGTAACATGGTTGAACTTATTGAGAGTGTTCCAGTCTAAATTCACTGAAAGAATTTTCGCTCGCCAAGGTATTTTCCATATGTCTTATAAAGATAGACTTTACCATCTCAACGAGAACTCCCTAGAAATGAGGAGAAAACTATCCGATTATGACTTTGTTTTCAAGCTTTCCGCTGGACAGGTGGATTTGAATTTTGATACGTTGTTCAAAAAATCAACAACAATTGGCCGCACTAGAGGGCATAGCTATAGACTCTTAAGAGAGAAAATCAACTCTGCTGAATTTCGAAGTTCATTCACACAGAGGATTATTACTTTCTGGAACGATTTACCACCATCTGTTGTGCGTTCGAGCTCTGCAAGCTCTTTTAGGAGAAAAGTCAAAAAAATTATGATTTCTCAAGGTTGGTTTTAAGAACAAGAAACTAAACTAATTTAAATTCGAGAGGCAGAGAAGCGATTCATTCGGTTTAGCTAATTCACTGAATTTGTATTGATTTGCAGATTTGCAGATTTTATGGCCTGTTTGTTCAATTTTACGTCTCATTTCTTCATGTTGTTTTGGAAATAATCCCCCCCTTGGGCCTGCGATGCGGAGAGTTGGATCTCGGCAAGTTGGCGGACCTACTAAGTCGGTATCCGGAGTTCTACGTCGTCGCTTCCGCAGGAGCTTGCAGTGTGGCGGCCACTGCCCTTCTTGCCGACTTTCCACTCCCACGCAGCTTCAACCCTTGCTACCCCATTTAATTTCGAGTTTTTTTTGTTTTACTTATCGGTGACTTGTTTCTGTTTCTTTCTTGATGTTGTGTTCTTACTAATGATATCCGATAATAAATCATAAATCATAATCATTAGCCCTGTGCTCCCAATACATCATGGCCGCGTTCGCACGTAACCTGAAAGTTGAGACGCATGGTCTCACTCGTTACCAAGGTCTATACGCTTTTAGGTCGTGACACGCTCGAGACTCGAATACTCTCTTGATAGTGATTTTTCAGGAGGAAGAAAGTTTCATGAAAACACGCCCCCTGGATATCCGAAACATCGGTATCGTAGCTCATATCGATGCTGGGAAAACTACCCTCACTGAACGGATGCTCTATTTGGCTGGAGTTATCCGCCATCTGGGCGAGTCGATTCGGGAAGCTCTGTACACGATTTTTGGATTTGAGCGGAACGGGTTTTCAGTATTTCTTGAATAACTATAGAGATATATTTCACCTATTCCACCCTTGCTATTTATCTAACTTGTATCTACTCATTCAAAAATCGAAATGCAATCGCGAACGTTTTCAAAGAGAACTGTTTAGGATATCACAATACAGCGTGGTCGCAATAATTCGGCTGAAACGAAGCATCAGTAATCTATTGACCAGCCGGTCACGGCGATTCACAGTACGTTATGCTAATTGTGCAAAGTGTCCTGAAAGAATCATCAACTGTCAATGGAACGAAAGCATCTAGTGGGGCAGCTCTAATTGATACAACTTCGGCTCACCTACCACGGAATACCTTAATCCTGACCTCACACACTCATTTCTCTTGTAACTACTGAGCATGTACGTAACCCATACATGTATTCTGGGCAAAAATGTAAGTATACAGCGTGGTATTCAAAAATCTGCGCCGAGTTTTCCTGATAACCTGTGATGGCGCTTCGCATATAGACAGTGAGGGACGCGTTCATGTAGCGATTAGCGATTAGCGAACGCGATGGGGACGATCAATACCCCAATGTCCGCCAATATGGGGAGGGTCTGTGCCGTGTTCATGTAGTTCCAGCAACACCCAACTTTCCCGCCAGGTTTGGCGATTGATTGGTCAAGACGAGCCATTGAAATTTTTTCCTCTTTTGACTAAACAGCTTATGAGTTGCACTGCACAGAGGAACAGCAATGGATAGCATGGCTGGCGTGCAGACAAAACAGGCTGGCGAATGCGGCCTACAGCGTAACGAATCTCACGAACACGGCATCGCCCTGCGTACGGCGAATGTGAGGCCAATAATCGCGCCAATCGCACACCGTCAGTCGCGATCGCGAATAGTTGTCTATGAACGCGGCATATGAAAAAGAGATCATTTGATGTATTCATATGCAGGGCTGCTGGCTAGCTCATCGCATCAACCTCTATATACGCGTCTATCTGTTCGTACTTTCTAATTGTCGCTTGTTTCATGGCAGTGGAAGTCGAAAGATGTGCCAGAGTCCTCGACGGCATCGTTACTGTCTTGGATGCCTCGGCTGGAGTTCAGGTCTGTTCCCTTACATCTCACCCTTTTGCATTTGTATGCTTTTATCACGTTAGGCGTTGAGAGAAATTCCTTTTGAAACCTGGAGTGTACTTTGAGATGCCTACCGTTCGTTTGTATGTTACGTAACAACTTCCAATCCTTAGGTAGGGTTCAATGTGCGCAACACAATCAATAATCCGTCTTTCTCAAGGTACAGGTGGAATTAAAAAGAGGGAAATCGTCACTGTAGGGGAAGCTTCATCTGACGTGACGTTATAAATTATCGCTAGAGATCGATTGAATGCTTGCGTAAGACCTCATGCATGTAAATGGTCGATAACGATCTTCTTTAGCTTTGTTTGATTTATGTGCACGAAGTTATGTCTTGTAGGCACAAACGTTGACCGTATGGCGTCAAGCTGCAAAATTTCATCTTCCATCTGTGTTTTTCGTCAATAAAATGGACAAAAAAGAAGCGGATTTCAAAAATTCTGTTGAATCTGTTGAGCAGAAGTTAGGTATCAAAGGTGAGGAGTCGGTTCCTTGATTATACTGTCTTATTCAATATTCGATTATTTTCTTTATCTTCTCCCTACGTTGATCCTGCGCTTTCGCAGGTTTCGCTGGTCTTGTTGCGTATTGCCACTTTTTTCAATTGAAGGCTTATTTTGTCACTTATCACGTCGTGCACTTTTTGGCGATACCCCTCCACCTCTTCTTTTGGGCTCCTCTTTGTCGCTTCCTTGTTAATTCGAAGCTAATGGGTTTTTTGCTTCATAGAAGAAATCTGATTGGTTGTTGTCTTGTTCAGCATTAGCTACGACATCTCCAATTTATGAGAATGAGAATCTGTGCGGAATTGTTGACGCTGTAAGCAAAAAGTTCGTTCCTCTAACTTCTGATGGTTTGTGGCAGAATGTTGAGGTATGGCGAAATTGAGAAATAATTAGAACAGAGCTGAATATACGTACTTATAATATCAGAGTGACACCCCTGTTGGAGATGTGCTGAGGGCATCTCGAGAGAATCTTTGCTGTGATCTATCGGATTTGGATGCGGAGTTCATGTCATTATTTTTGGACGGATCTGGTGGAGATCCCATGAA